GACGTTTCATCCTCAACCGTGTGCTGGTACCACCGCCGATTTGGTGCCTCTGCTCGCAAGTGCAGTCGCCCGTGCTCCTGGTCGGGAAATGCGACGACCGGCCACTGACGGCGGCAAGTGGTACTGGTCGAAAGTCATGCCGCCTTTTCTATGTCTCTGATAAGATCACTGGCGCTTGCTTCCTAGTCGGCACAGGTATTTGCATGTTATTGCTTCCTAGTCGACACAGGTACGTATTTGCATGTTATTTTGATACAACAGCCCAAAGGTACAGTTTCCATTCTCTAAACTGGTAGGTGTTCTGTGGGTGCACGTACATTGAACACGCAGTTTTTTGTAGTAGAGCTTAGACTTTCTCTTTTTCGTAAAGCAGGGCTCGAGTGTGGTAATTATCGAGTGAGACAAGTCACAGAACAATTGGTGTCGGAAAGACATGGTTAAAAAGACTGTGAAGTGTTCAGAATGTGGGGTTGGTTTGAAAGTGGACCCAAGTGTAGAAGCGTAAGGAGAAGAGGCTGAGGCGAAGTGTAGGCAATGTGAGGTCGAGGAAAAAATGGAGAAAATGATGGTTACCCAGAGTGACATGCTGATGAGAATCACCGAGCTCGAGACTGCGTTGGCGACAGAGCAAGAGAAAACGAGGGCTATGGGAGAAAAGCTTAAGTACGCCGAGGAAGCACTAGCCAAGGTAAACAGAGGAGCGGCCTACGGAGAGAACAGTAGGGAACCGGCAACCAGAACTGCGGAGAAGAAAGAGCAAGCAAGTTTGGAAAAAACAGGTTCAGCCGGTTCACTTGTCACAAGGCCCAGCTTCAGCGAAGTAGTGATGGGGCTGGGAGGGGACAAAGCAGCCGGCCTCACAGGTGCAAGTAACCCTCAGGTGCAGGACGCTCCAGCTGAAAAGTCACAGCATGTGATAACCGCCGGGGGCTCGAATGTGAATCGATGCACAGAAGCAATCAAAGAGAGGGTAAGAGGTGACAAGAGGGTTGCAGTAGGGACATTCCCAGGACGCAAGCTCGAAGCAGTCATGAGGCAAGCGAGCGCAAAACTGAAAACTACGGCTCATGAACCAAACCTCGTGATAACTTCAGGTGGTTTAAACAATGTCTTAAATGAAGATACAGCAGGACTAGCAACTACACTGGCGAAAGGCGTCGATGACATGCGCGCCACTTCTCCTGAGGTACAGGTAGCGATATGCACGATACCGGAGGTACCGGTGCGTGATAGCAACCTGCAAAGAGCAGTTGTCAACGCAAACCAAGAGATGGCGGATGAGTCGAGAGAAAGGCTTTGAGGTGGTAGAAATAAACAGAGAGGTGCATAGGTGGGGTGGTTTTCAACGAGACAGAATTCACTTCGATGGGCGGCTAGGTCATGAGGTGGGTTGGCGACTTGCAGGACGCGCAGTAGCTTTTTTGGGGGGCAAGCGGGCCCTTCGGGGTGCAGGATAGCTAGTAACGAGGAAAACAACCAGGGAGACTCTTTGTCAGGTGGTATGAACAGATACGATTCCAAAGTGGCACCAGTATCTGAGATAGGTAGAGTCCGGGGCAGAAATAAACGTAGCCACGAGCGCCGAGCCAATTCAGACAAAAGGTATATTAACATGCAGGGCGGTAGGAACAGGCTGAAGTGGGAAGAGATAGAAGAACAGCTAAGGGAGGAGAGGCCGATGGTATACGGTTTTGTAGAAACACAACTCAGGGACATGGAACAACCTCCTAACAATGCGGACTACGCGTGGGAATATTGTAATAGAACAGAAGGCAGCAGAAAGAAGGGTGGTATTGGGGCATTCATTCATAAAAGCACAGACTGGCAAATGGTCAAGCAGGAGTGCAAGCAACATTTATGGCTAAAAGGGAAAGTGGCTGGGCAAATGACACTTCTTGGTTTCGTGTACTTGTGGACGGGAGCAAAGGCCAGAGAGGACAACCAGGCGATGGTAGAGTGTATATCAAAGGACATTCAGGAGTTAGGAGGAAAGTGCGAGATAATTATACTAGGAGATATGAATGCACACATAGAAGATATAGATAGGTATACCGACCCGACAGGCCAAATGATCATGTATGTGTGAAATGCTGTATTTGATCATTTGCAACAGTACCGAGAAGTGTGAAGGGCAAATAACATGGGAGGTAGGAAGGCTGCAGTCAACGATAGATTACGCATTGATGTCACATAGGGTGTATGATAAGCTCAGGAGAATGCACATAGATGAAGGTGGCTCTAGAAGTCTCGGTAGTGATCACAAACGTATCAAGCTAAGTTTTGGAAGAGCAGTGAAAGTGGGAAGGAGACAAGATGAGCAACTACAGGAAAATTTTTATTCAGAAAGGCAAAGTGAAATAGCCACTAAACCAAGTGAGAAAGGAATAACTGAGGATATTAAAACAGTGTGGACATACACGAATATTATTAGACTGTTCGAGCTAGAGCTTGCTAAGGCACGTGACAAGTCACCCCGGAAAAGAAGACACAAACCCAAAAGTTAGTGGTATGAGGAAGTTAAGAGAGCCATAGCAAAACGTCACGAAGCCTCAAGGGAACAGAGACATGCTAAGCAGCGGGGTGAACCGACAGATGATGTTGAAAGAAAATGGGAAATCTTTCTAAGCTGTAGAAGGGATGCATCCCTTCTGATCAATGAAGAGATTAGAAGAAAGGGAGCCCAGTGGTTGGTAGAAGTACATAAAATAGGTAGAAAGGCAGCTTCGAAATTTTGGAACCATCTAAACTCCCTAACAAATGAGACGAGCCTAGAGCAGAGGGATATAACTACAGCTAAAAGTGCTAGGCTAGAAGGGGAGGAAGGTATTCAATATATAGGAACAAGGTTGACAGAAAAATTTCAACACAGAAGTGCTTTATGCACCACAATAGACAAGGATGAATCGAGGGGCGCAATGGCTCCATTTTCACAACAAGAGTGGGAAAGGGCTGAGAAAAGGGTTCCTAGTAGTACTTTAACAGGGCCCAGATGGCATTTCAATTATGCTGATAAAGACATTAGGTCCGAAGTCTAAGCAGGCTTTGAGAGAGGCAGTGAGCAAAATAATAATCGAGGAAGAAGTTCCCAACGGATGGAAACTTAGCAGGATGAGCATAGAGGAAAGGGGGACAAAGCTGACATAAACAACTACCGTCCTATAAAAGCGACATCAGTGATCTACAGGCTGGAGATGCAGATTATAAAGGAAAGACTGCATGCATGAATAGAGGGTGAGCGGGTGCTGGGGGAACTGCAGAATACGTTTCGGAAACAGAGGAGGTTGGCAGACAATCTGTTCTCACTGACGCAGTGCATCGATATAGCAGAAAAGGAACACAGGCCCCTGTGGCTAGCATTTTTGGATATCAAGGGAGCATACGATAGCGTGGTTCAAGAGGAATTGTGGGGAATACTGGACACACTACGCGTGGAAAATGTAGTCACTAATTTTTTTAAAGGAGATCTACAAAAGTAACAAGTTAGTTATAAAGTGGGAAAAGCAGGTATCTAAGCCCACAGAGGTGAAACGGGTGCTTATGCCGGGGTGTCCTCTGTCACCCTTGTTATTCATGATGTACGTACAAAGATTATAGGCCAAATTAGAGGAAAGTGGACTGGGCTTCAACCTCTCTTTCGTCAAACAAGGAAAACTCATTGAACAGGCACTACCAGCATTGATGTACGCAGATGATATAGTGCTAATGGCCGACAACAAGGAAGATTTGCAGATATTGATGGACATCTGCGTTAATGAGGGAGATAGGTTAGGCTTTACATTCGGTATAAGGAAAAATCAGCAGTCATGATTTTCAACGACAACGAAGATAGTGAGCTTAGAATACAGGAGGTCTCACTAGAGATAACAGATAACTACAAATATCTGGGCGTATGGATAAGCAATGGGACTGAGTACCTAAGGGAACACGAAATATACGTGACGACGAAAGGTAACAGGAATGCAGCAGTGATGAAAAATAGGGCACTGTGGAATTACAATAGGTATGATGTTGTGAGAGGAATATGGAAAGGGGTCATGGTTCCTGGGCTGACGTTCGGCAATGCGGTCTTGTTCATGAGATCAGAAGTTCAAGCAAGATTAGAAATTAAGCAACGTGGAATAGGTAGGCTTGCTTTAGGAGCTCACGGGAATACGCCAAATCAGGGAGTACAAGGTGACATGGGATGGACATCATTTGAGGGCAGGGAAGCTTGGAGCAAGATAAAATTTGAGAAGCGATTGAGAGAAATGGGGGAGGAGCTTTTGGCTAGGAAGGTATTTAGCTACTTGTACATGAAGAATGTTGATACAAAATGGCGGAAGCGAACCAGAAAATTGACTGGTAAATACTTGGAAAAAGAGCAGGGGGTCAAAGCAAAAAGAATTATCGCTCAATAAGAAGGAGAAGGAAGCTAAGACCGATATGTGGAGAATTGGCATGATTAAGAAGTCGGCTCTAGAGATCTATCAAACTTTTACGCAGGAAATAGCCAAGGAAAGGATCTATGATAATACTCGGAGTAGTTCTCTACTGTTTGAGGCCAGGACGTGAGTATTGCGAACAATGACATATCGGGCCAAATACGAAGGGGTAGACACGGTATGCAGTGCGTGTGGAGAGGAAGAAGAAACTGCCGAACACTTGATAATGTTCTGTAAAGGGCTAGCTTCACCCTGTAGTTCAGGTTAATGGCGCAGAGTTTTTCAAAGCACTGGTGTTTAGGGACAGTGAGGGCAAAAAAGACTTTAAGCGGGTAGAATTAACTAGAAGGAGGTTATCTGATTGGTGGCTAAAGTCAAGGCACAAGTGAAAATTGAACCCTTCACTGCAAATTACGATTCCTCAACCTCACTATTTAAAGTAAAAAAATATAAATCTAGTTTTTTTGTTCATTAAGTATTACGGCTTGGTGGCGCAAGCCACCGCCTGATCTAAAGGGTACAGCCATACCCATTCATCTATCTATCTATCTACGCATCGATCTAAAGGGTGCAGCCACATCCATCCATCCAGTACTTTGTCTAGGCGGTCGTTAATTATTCTGTGGCTGTTTTCTACTTCGGTTGTTTAAAAAATGGAGGCCACGGCGACGTCGACGAGTTGTTCACCGATAAGCGACGAAGGAAAGCGAAGGGGTTCGCGCAAGGACGAAGACCTCGAGTACGACATCACTTTCCCGACCGCCGACAAGCAGCTCGCTCTGCCGACGAGTAAGGAACCCGTCGTATACTTACTCGGCTGGGCTGGTTGCAAAGACAAGCACCTGGCCAAGTACGGTGCCATCTACGAAGATCAAGGGTGTGTTGATCATCCTCTCCGCGTGCCCTAATTTATCGCTGCCTAATCGAATGAGTTGCTTCTTACCCCCACTGTTGTTGTCACAGCGTTCATTTTAGGACGGCCAGGTAGGAAGTGCGCATTTTTCCGTGTGTGTTCAAGATAGTGCATCGTCGGTTCGTGTGGTCGAGCTCGATCATCAAGTTTTGTCGTCTCCTCGTGAACAGCGATTGTGAGTGGTGGCGTAGACTTCACGATTAAAGAAAAAAACTGACGTGTGGAAGTGGTGATCTCACAATGCATTGACCCGCCGGCGGCATGGACACTTCCACCCGCTGCGCCCTCGTCTGGCGGTTCTCTCCTGCTCTCGTCCTAGTCATCTGCCAACGAGCCCAGTTAGGCGCACTCTTCCTTCAGAACGCTCGCGCAGAATGTTTTCAAGTTAATTTACGTCCATCAACTCGAACATCTTCCATGACTTGAAGACAAAGCAACACACTGACCACGATTAAAAGCAAATAAAAGCAAGACGTTCCTTAATCGCGGTCAGTGTGCTGTTTTGATTGTCGATGTGTGTTCCTTACCAGACGGGTTTCTGTTCAAATATCGATTTCATCTAACGCCCCGCCTAACGCAGCTAACGCCCCGCCGTGGTGGTCTAGTGGTTAAGGCACTCGGCTGCTGACCCGCAGGTCGTGGGTTCAAATGCCGGCTGCGGCGGTTGCATTTCCGATGGAGGCGGAAATGTTGTAGGCCCGTGTTCTCAGATTTGGGTCCCCGTTAAAGAACCCAGGTAGTCGAAATTTCCGGAGTCCTCCACTACGGCGTCTCTCATAATCATATGGTGGTTTTAAGACGTTAAAACCCACAAAATCAATCATCTTCTCTAACCTAACACTATTTTACGGGTCCCAAACTATAATAGTTTGAATGGTAGACATAAAAAAGAAAGAATGAAGACTAGACTGGGCAACTACAAAACAGCTAGAACAAAACAAAAATGTTTCAAGGCGCTGTTGCGTTAGTGACTTCATTATATGTAGAAAAAGCAAAGGCACATTATATTAGGATTTTTCGTTGTTCCACCAAAATGTTCATAATGTTTCTAGCAGAGCAGCCCATAGTTAGAGTTAAGCAACTGTGGAACCGTCAATGTAATGTACACCCATTAAAGTGGTGGTGTTTGCACAGTGTTTGCATTCGTAGGCAGTCATGAATGGCCTTGACAGAGCTTTCTTCCTCATGTGTGTTCAGGTGCATCACGATTCGTTACATTGCTCCAGTCGAAGAGCTCTTCAAGCGAAGCTATGGCGGAGCATTGGAGGAACAGGCGTATGCACTGCTTGGCCTGCTGGAGGACTTCAAACTCGAAGAGCACCCGCTGTTCTTTCATGCGTTCAGCAATGGCGGAGCATTTGTCTACTCACTGTTGAATCGACACTTTAGGGACGATGTCCAGATCATGTCCAAGGTACGTTCCCTTGTATCTGCTTGCCTAGTAAATCTTGTACAACTGTACGCCTTATCATTTGTGGGAATCGAGGCTAGCCCGCCGCCTTTGCGCGGGCTTTGCCGCCTCTTTCTGCGTTCTTATGTCCTGACATGACTCTCCTCTCCTCCGCGGTCTGTCGCGCTGGGCGAGCCGGAGTGAAATTAACCCCTCTCACCCGGTAGCGGATGTCGACTGTGGCACTGTGTGCGGAGTCTCTCGGGACGCTTCGCGCTCACGTCAGCGGCGAGAGAGAACCTCTCTTGGATGACAGAGGGTAAGCACGCATTTCTTTTCCGTCTGTCGGCTCCCTTTGTTTGGGGCTCATTCGGACTTCGTCAATGGCGCCTTGCACCCACGGTGAACGCTTACCTTTTGTCACCCCCCCCTTTCCAAACGCTAGGCCGAGGAGCGGTGCGATATCCTAGTGCGTGGTCATACTACCCCGACCCGTACCTCTCGGAAGCCAACGTGAGCAGAGTTTTGCGCTCGCTCAAGTGACCGGGTTCTTTGTCCCGGTGTCACCGTGAATCACTTTTGCCCACAGAGACGTGCTCGCGGCACCCTGTGTAGTACTTCTTCCCCGTGGCGTGGATAAGCCCATTTGCTTTCCCGCCTCGCCTTTTGCAACGGGCTCTGCATTACGCTTTTGGTGTTGTTTCAGGCAATAAAGCGTTGCGACCTTGAGCAGAACCGTGTTCTTGCCACGGCGACGGTTAACGCATGCCCTGCGGCTCGCTAAGACTGGACCCACACTAGTGGCCATACTTCTTCGGGATACATGTACACTACACATTATATTACCCCAAATGAGTAGATTGTGTAATTTGCAAGACATCGGTTGGGTTTGTAAGAAAGACGCCCTTATTTTCACCTCACACATGTGACTTAACATACAAATGAAACGTACAATTCAACGATTGTTATAGTGCAAGAACAGAATGACGATCACCTCACACATGTGACTTAACATACAAATGAAACGTACAATTCAACGATTGTTATAGTGCAAGAACAGAATGACGACAAAGAGACAAGAAGAAGATGAGCATTCGTCTTCTTCTTGTCCTTTTGTCATTGTTCTGTTCTCGTGCTGTAATAATCATCATGTCATACCAACTAGCCCAAACCGCTATGCTTATAAGTACAATTAGAGCTAGGATATGCATGCGATCGATCAGAAAAAAAATGACTTGTATGGCAGCTCAGTGTGTATTGGGTGAATCGTGCAGCGGTGGGTAAATCACATTTGCAGCTGAGGAACCTTTGTGGAACACTCAACTGGTCATTCTCTTTCTTTGTGTCCCTGTTTGCATTGGCTGTTGAGCCATTACGGAATGAAAAATCTTGGTGCTCTACTCTACTGGTCGCTCTGTCGATTATTATTCTATTTGGCTGGTCAAAATTATGTGCACTAAGAAGGTTCAGCTGATTAGTTCAGAGCACCATATTGCATCTCTGAGGTGCTCTCACTTTGACCTCAGAGTTTATTTCACCAGGGAAATTCTGCATAGTCTGCAGGGACTAAAAGCTGCTCGAAGCAGGTTGACTTGGTCTCTGAAGACCCTTTACAATTAGCAGCATATGACGTTGACAGTACAAATGGGCTTGTAAAATCATACTTACGACAGAACAAGTTACAAATGAACACTTCCAAAACAAAATATATGATATTTGCCCCGACTAATAAGCCGCAAAACTGCAACGCGACTATTGTTTTTGATGACAGAATAATCGCGAAGGTTGAATGTCACAAAAATTTCTAGGCGTGTGGTTTCAAGAAGATCTGGCTTTGAACACACATGTGGACTAAATTGTAACAGAATTAAGTAAAACTGTTGGCTGCTTATACAGATTGAGTACTTTGGTTCTTTCTTGGCTGAAAATTTTGTTGTATTACGCACTATTTTACTCCCGACTAACTTAGTAGTGCATATTAATCTGGGCCACGACCACACAAAAAATTATAAAAAGCTGATTGCGCTGCAAAAAAGAGTCGTACGGGCATTTGAGGGTTATGGTGGACCTTTACAGAATTTTAGAACACAGCCTGTTTTTATCAAGTACTCTAGGCTGAAAGAAAATCAGGTGTACTATTACAAATTAATGCAACATATCAAGCAAAACAGGACACATTATATCACTGATGCACCTACCCACCCGCGTTATAGCTTTTGGCAACACCATCTAAAAACACCAAAAATAAGAACAAGTTATGGCAAACAGTTACAAAGTTACCAAGCACCTTCACTACTCCATAGAATACATGAATTTCACTACAAAGTTATGGAAGCGTCGAGTGAATCTTTTAAAACATTGCTCATTTCACAAAATATTGAGTGTGTCTGACAAAGCTGCTGTATGTATTTTCGATTTCCATGTCTTAATTGCAAATTTTAGTTGTTGACTTGGGCAAGATGACCTATCTGTGTAATATTTAACATTTTTTGTTGTTGTTTCTTTACAGACATACTGTGTTTATTCTCGCTTTCGCACTTTTTTGTACACATATTTTTTTAATTTCGTGACTATTCAGTGGAATGTGTCCGTAGAGTATACTTTGTTTTGACTTGTGCTATGTACGGCTTGCGTGCCGAACTGTCGTAGGAGCAGAAGTCTTTGTCAGGCCACATGGCCTTTAGCTTCTGCTTCCTTTCTGTTATAAACAGAAGAACTAAAGTCAATTCAATTCAATACGTAAACAAACATGAGTAATACCGTAAAAATTGCAGTTTGGATTACATCAAGTAATAGCACACACAGAGAGTCACAGTGAGATTTCGCATTTAAACGTTTAGTATAGCAGAAACAACTGTGTAATACAAGAAGGTTCAGAAAGTACAGAAATTTTACAGAATAACAATATCACGTAACGATCAAAGACAGAATAGAAAAATTCAGTATATGATAAGCTAAAGAGTCAAGACATAATAACGCAAGGGCTACGACATAGACAAAAAACAAAAAAATGTCACGCAACTGTCGGTGTGTAGCAGTAGTAACTTCGGTATATTCATTTAGGATGGATGGCAAATTATAGTGCAATGCTTGTAAGTTGTATGAGGTTCGGTAATGAGGAACAAACCACACTAAAGTATGTCGCATACGTATGGTAGCCTCATTAAGTTTTAGGTGGGATATAGTTTCTAGGTATTTTTTAAAAGTGTGAGAAAAGTAGAAAGCTTGTGAAACCCGGAAATTGTATAAGTGCTGAACCCGCATGGCAGTGTATTTTTGAAACACTGTTCTAGTTGAGGCCATGTAGGGAATGTCTGCAATATGTCGAAGAATCTTCTTTTGCAGAAGCAAGATTTTTAGTTTCTGTTTAGTTGTGGTGATCCAAACCAGGTTGAAGCAGTGGAAGTGGGATGTGAATAGTGCGTAGTATATTTGAAGCTTTATCTTTGTTTGTAGCAAGCATTGACATTGTAGTAATGCTCCAGTAGTTGATGACAGTCTCCCACACAGCTTTTCTACGTGCGAGTTCCAACTAAGGTGAGAGGAAAACTTAACTCAGAGTATTTTGTGTTCGCCTACGACAGTAATGTCTTGACCTTTAAATGAAATAATGTTTAATAGTCGGACTGCTTTACTTCTTGCATGGAATATAACAATTTTAGTTTTTGTTAGGTTTATCTTTAGTTTGTTTAGACTGGACCTTGTTGACAGCATTGACAGTGTGTTATTGCATTCAGAGACAAGATCACACATATTAGGCCCCGAAAATAGTATGGAGCTGTCGTCGGCAAGTACAGTGAAAGCTCGTTAATTCGAACTTTAATAATTCGAATTTATGGATAATTCGATCTGTAAGTTATGGCCATACAAGCCTATGAATAAAAAAGCCCGTTAATTTGAACGCAAGTAGGTTTCGCTACAGATAATTCGAACTACGTGCCACCGCGCCAGCGGTTTTGCTATTCACTCGATAGGGCGGCTGCCGATTTACGAGGCGGCGTTGACAGGGACGGAGAGAGAAACAAAGAGAAAAACTGGCACATAGGCCATAGTGCAGAAAATAGCACCTTTTACTCTTTACTCCCACAATCTCTCTCTCGGCGGCTGCCTGCTCTTCGTCCTATGTAACCTCCAAGATTAGTTTTTTTTTTTTAAGCACCTATCTCGGAGCCTTTGCAAATTTTGCGTAGCTGTCGCTGTTAGATGACAGATGGCATGACCAGCACACAGCAAATCACGTTTGAACATTGGACCGGAGTGAGCAGTTTGTGCAGTTCATTGTAGACAGCAACGGCAACCCTACCCATGACATTAAGGAGGCCTTGACAGGGCACCTGGAGGCTCTGTATGGTTAACGTGGGTGCACGAGGGACCTCCAAAGCGATGAAGGAGACCCCCAATGTGGTGAAGAGAGGACTGAACAGGGTTCCGCAGAGGACGGAGCCCTAAAATGGGAATTTAGTCATATCTCTATAGACCGTGCTTTGTCCCATTTCCGAGCCCAAACAGCCTCGGGGCCAGATGGCATCCCATCTCGCTTACTTAAGTGCTTGGGGCAGTAGGCGAAAGAACAGGTAGCTGGCCTGTTCAGCGACATCGTTGCGGGAGCGGCCATTCCAGACGACTGGCATTGGGCAGAGTCTCACTCATTATCAAGCGAGGAGGAAGGGCAGGGAACTTTCAAGATTACCGACCACTCACAGTCAACAGCACCATGTACAGGCTCTTTACCTATGTGCTTAAAGGACTGGATCAGTGGCTGGGCTGAATCTAAAGGGCGGCTGACAGAACTGCAGAACGGTTTTTGCAGAGGTCGACGACATGAGGATAACCCTTTCGTCATCGCACAGTGTGCGGAGATCCCCAGAAAAGAAGGGCGTACGCTTCTATGCTGCTTCATGGATGTGGAGAAAGCTTACGACAGTGTCCCACATGAAATCCTGTTCACACGCCTGGAGACACTGGGAATGCCGAAAGAGCTGTTGGCAACAGTCATACACCTATACGCGGGCAATAGCGTCATT